GGTCAAGCCGGTTTTTGCACGTGGCTCACCTTTGCACTGCAGACCCGTGAAAGGAAGTGGAGAAGGATCGCTCCTGCTACTGCTGCGGCTGTGTCTTAGCTTTCATTGATATATGTCTTATGTCAAAAAGAGATTTGCCTTTTACTTCTCACCACAAGGGTATGGGAAATAATTGCCCATGTTTAATGTTAAAGCCATCATGAGTGCTTAGGCTTTAAGATCATCAAACAAAGGGTCAGTCTTAGCTTTCTAAAATCCTTTGTCAAATAAAGCAGAAAACGAGGGGACGAATGGATGGATGGATATTTTCAACATTATCTTTACTAACTCAACATTGGCTGAGTACCTACTATATTTAATTCTCTCTCTCTCTCTCTCTCTCTCTCACACACACACACACACACACACACACACACACACAGACACACACACCCTGCTGGTCCTATGCATCCTCCTTCAGAATTGTCCTGAATCTAGCCCCTCCACTCTGACTCTGTCATTCTCACCTGTTCTAGAAGCTCCTCATATCTTGTCTGTATTTTTCACAACAGCCTGATTAATCTCACTTACTCCTTAATGCCATCTCATCTTCTTTGCCATGGCCAGTATCACCCTTTTAAAACAAAAAACTGACCATGTCACTCTCCTGCTTCGCGGCTTCCACTAGCTCTTAATCGCCTACAAGGTAAAATCCAAACTCCATGGCCATGCTTATGCAGCTGTTCCATCTCCAGTCACAGTGTCTATCCCTAGTCTCTTTGTCCCCATCTCTTCAATGCACTCTGTATTGCAAACACTACAGACTTTTTGCTGGGAAAGACAGAGCTGATTTCAACGCCATTTGTTAGCTCTGTAAAAATGGGTCTAAAGTCACTCACTCTTTCTGAACCTCACTTTTTTCCTCAAAGGGGAATTGTTTGTAAAAGGTAAGGATTGTAAAGATGTACAGTTTAATGTCAGCAGTTATCTAGCTCAGAGCTAGTTTTCTCTCTGTGCCTTTCCATTATCCCCTCCACCTGATGTCTGTCTTTCTCTTCATGTGACAAATTCCTGCTCAGGCCCAGGTCAACAGGTATCTTCTCTGTGGATAGTTTTCTGCCTCCCTCTGACTGAGTTAGTTACTTTCTTCTTTGGGCTTCCACAATAACTCAGGGCATTTGTTACGTCATGATATGACATGATATTATTATAAGATCCTGTTAAAAAAAGAAAATGTCCTTTTTTAAACTCTGTACCTGAACTTGGTATATAATAGCTTCTCAAAAAGTATTTGTGAACATGTGAATGAATATATGAAGGCACTGTGCTGGGTTCTGCAGTCCATCTCTTGAAGAACTCACAATCTTGAAGGGTATAGAAACATCCATTCAAATAAGCACAGTGGGAGTCTGACTGGAATAAAGGTTCAGCTGGGGGGTGGAATTAAAGTGTAATGGCAGCTGGCCCTTCTACGTGGGACACTGGGAAGCAGGGAAACCTTCTCGAGGAATGGCCATCTGAGCAGAGTCCTAAAGCATCCATGTGGATTTAACTTTCAATTTTGCTTAATCTGCCCACATGTTTATTATGCCCACTCCTCATACCCCAAAGAACCCTAAACTTTGGTGGCAGAAGGCCAGGGAATTCTTAAACCTTGGCCAGCAATTCTCAGGAGATATTGTAAAGGAACAGATAAAAAGGTTTTCATAGTGCAATTTTGAGTGCAATTATAATTTTGCTTATAAACCCTGAAGCCTGTAAATTACTGACAAATCGGTATATCTTTGAAAATGAAAACAGACTACACCAAGAAGATAAATGTTTGAAAACTATAGAGCCATAAAAATCTTATGTTTTCATTATATACCTACTGAGGAATAGATATGTTCTTTTAAGAGTCTAAGTAATTAGACTGCCCAAATGAAATTGAAAAATGATGAACCATGACATACCAATCTATTTTAATATGATGTATAGAATATTTCCTGCCCTTTTTTACAACATAGGAGGACGTTCAATAAATTTTTGAATATAGGATTTTTTAAAGAAAGGATTTTTATAGCATGATAAGCAATGAAAGTCTAGAAATGCTCAATGCTGAATCCAATAGAGCATAGCCATAATCATAAGTTAGCATTTTGTAGCATCTTCTACATCCATCAGTTTATAGTTCTGATTGAACAACTTTAATAAATATCGAAATATCTTCCTTCAGTAGCACTGATTCCAAAATTAAATAGCTCCGTTTCAGCTCCACTGGGTGGTCAGATTCCTTCCCTGATGAAAAACTATGTAGAATGTCCTAATAATGACAATCGTGACTACCATTTACTCAGTGTTTATAATGTTCCAGGCAATGGATATACGAGATTTTTTTATTTCGAAGGTGCATTAGAAGCTTAAGCTTACATTTTTTATTCTCTATGTTACTAAAACTCAATTTATTTCACTCCATATATACCAGAAGCTTAGCAAGGTAAAAAAAGAAAACGGTACCTGAGTACTGCTTTGAGAATTATCCTGGAGAAATGAAATATTGCTATTTAGAAAGAACAGAAATTGCATTTAAAATGGCACCACCTGAAACACAAGAAAAACTCCATTTCTATATGAGCCAAGAACAGTTACCAGGCAGAAAATTTGGTCATCTTCATTCTACTCATATCCCACTTACAGAATTCCTAAGTACAGAATTCCAAGATGTCACCTTTACATGTTCAAATAGCAGAGGGGGGATTATGAGGGGACCTTCTGCCAGCTCTATCCAACTTCGGGGGACTCCCTGCAGGTTGTTAAGGAGAGCTCTTATGTCTGGTTCTATTACTCAACTTCCATACCTCGAAACCCAAAATAATCGATATTTAAGATACAATACTAAATACAACCCATTTGGAATAAATGGCCCCCCAAAATTGATTGTATTTATACTTTTTTTATGAATAAAACCATTTCCTCTTTTTTAACTTTTTCAGGGAAAAATTTTATCTTATGAAAAATTTGAAAGAAGAATATAAGGGCCCTCATGACCCAGCTTCAAAATTATCACCTCATGAGTCCATATCATTTCATCTCCCTCTCACATTATTTATGGAAGATATCTACGTGGTTCCAAAGTAACATCTACAAAAATAATACCATCAGAGAAGTCTGGCTTCTATCCCTGTGCCCCCATTCTCTTCTCTTTCCTCTATAGAAAACTATTTTTTTAGATTATTGTTTAATCCTCCCTTTTTAAAATATAAGCAAAACATTTATATTTCAATTCCTCCTTCCTGGGGATCTAGTGATTTTCCAAATATTTTAAAGTTTTTGGAGTTTACACTGACTGTTACAGTGTGACAAGTGTTACAAGACTGTGAGTGGACTTTCAGGCCAAAAATCAAGAAACATGGTACATGGTAATTTGTATTTATTTTAAAAATAAATATCTATTTGAACACCTTACAACTTTAAGACCCCAGTTTTGTGACCAAAATGAGGAGGAAAAGGCAGTTAATTTTGATAAAAAGACTGAAAAGTGAAAAAAAGCAGTAAAGAGTTTGTCTGGAGATTTTTAAATAGATAGTAATGTTAAAGACATGCTCATACAATTGGAGTATCTACAAAAGGCATTCCTACAGGAAACACATTAACAGCAGGTTTCTTTCCGCAGAGTGGGATTTTATTCACAAACCCTCAAACTGATATTCTTTCTCATAGATCGAATTGCACAGAACATCATTAAGTCCCATCTGGAGACATGTCAATACACCATGGAGGAGCTACACCAGCTGGCATGGCAGATCCACACATATGAAGAAATTAAAGCGTATCAAAGCAAGGTACTCTGGGAAACTACAGGAAAGTTTTTCTGTGATTTCTCTGTTTCTGGCTTTTTCAACCTCTGCACTGTTGACATTTCAGACTGGACAATTCTTTGCTGTAAGGATTGTCCTGCACATTGTAGGATGTTTAGCATCATCCTTGGTCTCTACCAACTAGGTGCCAGTAGCATCCCCTCACCCGTAGTTGTGACAACCCAAATGTCTCCAGATGTTGCCAAATGTTCCCTGGGGGGGGCAAAACGACCCCGATTGAAAACCACTGCCCTATTTGAGTGACTGGGGAGACTGTGCCCACATCAGGTGATTTTAGGACATCTCATAGTGGTTTCTTGCAGCCAGGCAAGGAATAGGAGCAATTGAAAAAGTCCTAGCAGGAATAATAGCTGCAAACTTACACTACAAAGATATGCAACAAAGCATTCTGAATGTTTCTTCTTGCCCTACATGTTTAAAAAGGACCAGAGGAAAAAGGGACAACTCACCCTACATTTTTACTGTTATTATTATTATTTTGATTATTTTTGTGTCCATTAGAGAAGGTTTTAAGAGAAGAAATTTGTTGCTGTTTTTGTTGTTGTTGTTTTGACTCACATTAATTTTCTACAGGATTGAGATCCATAATCACAAAACCTACTGGTAAATGAAATTTTAATAAAATATATAAATGTGTCTATATATAAATATATGACTACAACATACTGATTTTTCTCCAGTGGAATAATTAAATCTTACCACTTTTATATAAATAAGGAGACAAAAGCATAGGTATTGTTATGGTCAATAAAAAACAGAATTAACACATAACTTGGATTTATGTTTCCCATTCCAAAGAAAATAACCCAAGGATCAAAATACATTTCCGGAGTTCTATATTACTTAAGAGAGTGATTTGATTTGATGTCTTTTCCCTTGAATTTTTTTTTTTTTTTTTTTTGCGGTACACAGGCCTCTCACTGCTGTGGCCTCTCCCGTTGCGGAGCACAGGCTCCGGACGCGCAGGCTCCGGATGCGCAGGCTCGGCGGCCATGGCTCACGGGCCCAGCCGCTCCGCGGCATGTGGGATCTTCCTGGACCGGGGCACGAACCCGCGTCCCCTGCATCGGCAGGCGGACTCTCAACCACTGCGCCACCAGGGAAGCCCCCTTGAATTTTTTTTGTACCAAAAAGCAGTCTCCATAAGTTCTGGGAAAAGAACACAACATAAAAATATTACAGACTTAGTGTCTGTCAGGTACACGTGGAAATAATTTTTTGGAAGCCTGTGAATGAAATTGCTATTCCTCAGTGTAAGAGTTTGACTTTACAAAATAGACTAAAGAGCTTGAGTTTGTTTAGGTGAGGAGGAGGCAAAATAATAAAGAAACTATAAATGCCTATCTTTTTGTACTATTGCAATATTTCCATTATTTTAGCCTCATTACTTTGATAATTGTGGTGTATCAAGGTTCAAAGAGGTCAAAGCAATATCTTAGAAAATATTGCCTCTCTTCTAAAGGTGGGTAGATTCCTACCATGGACCCCAAGTGACAGGTAAGCGCCAGTTAGGGCAACCTTGAGTATTTCACTGAGTCTCCAAGTTGTTCTTTGCTCCATGTACATTCTGTGTTTTCTCTCTTGAAGTCCAGGGAAGCACTGTGGCAGCAATGTGCCATCCAGATCACTCACGCCATCCAATATGTGGTAGAGTTTGCAAAGCGAATAACAGGCTTCATGGAACTCTGTCAAAATGATCAAATCCTACTTCTGAAGTCAGGTAAGCAAGAAAATTCATGGGGGGCCTATTTTAGACCCGGAGGTGGTTGACCCTTAGCTTGCTGTTAGTTCTAGAAAATCCTCCATCCAACGTGTAGCTCATTTTTACCACCCACGCTGTCAGCCAACTCCCAAAGGAAACTCTCAATAATAAAAATGCCCTGATAGTCATTCAGTTCCCCTTTGAAGTCAAATACAATTTTGCTTATTGAAAGTGGAGCTATTAATTGTGGAGGTTGAGATACCCAGCTTGACAGGCAGTGCTAGTAATTAGCGTGTCAAGGTGGCTGAATTGCTGAGCTGGCTCTAAAATGTACTACTTGCCTTCTGTTGGGGGGGAAAAAAATCCAGGCTAGCTGAGCTCTGCCTCTGTGGTCATTTCCAGTCATTTTAATGAGGATAGCCTGCAGCCAGAATACACCGGGAGAAACTCACTCTGCTCTAATCCTTCCTCCCACTTCTCCCTCACACTCTCTGACACACACACACTGTCACTTAGGAAGCAACTCAGGAAACTTTGCACATGATTGACTTTGCAGCTGCCATTATCCAAACAGGAAAAAAAATGTATTTGTCTTTTTTGGCCCCCTTTGAAAATAGAAAATAAGAACCACTATGGTGTTCATGTGAACCTTCATGGTCCTGGGCTATAGCAAATAATAATAACATAATTTATATATATGCAATAACATATATATATATATGTTTATGTTTACCTGTGACATCTCTTTTAATCTCGTGTGCTCAGTAATTATTTCCATCGTATAGAAGAGGAAGCAAAGATTCAGGGAAGTGAAGGGCTGTGTTCAATACCACGTAGCCAGTATCTGGCAAAGCTGGCTTATTTTTTTTTAATTAATTTTTACTGGAGTATAGTTGCTTTACAGTGTTGTGTTAGTCTCTACTGTACAAAAAGAGGTGTGGAGAAAAGCTGTCTTTTGAACTTGAGCCAAACAAAAGAATTATTCTAAGTTGCTGCTGCTTCGTTACCAAATGATTAAGGTTGGTGCAAATCTTGACTCAAACATGAACCTGCTGTATTAGTTGCTGGATAAAAACAATCCCAAAACTTAGTTCACACAACGATAATCATTTATTTTGCTTCCAAAGCTACAGGTTGAGCGGGGCTTAGCGAGGGACGGCTTGTGGTGTTCCCTGAGGCAGCCTGACTGCGGGCAGGAGGACCCACTTGCGCACTGGCTCGTGTTCACGGCTGGCAGTTCGTGCTGGTTGACAGCCCGGAGTTCAGACAAGGCTTTGGGCTCAGGGGGGCCTCAGTTCCTACCCTGCACAGACTGCTTGGACGTTCTCACAGCATGGTGGCTAGGTTTCGAAAGTTAGCATTTCAAGAGAGCAAGGCAGAAGTGTGTAGCATTTTTCTGACTTAGCTTCAGAAGTCCCATAGGGTTACTTCCACTGCACCTGTTAGTCAAGGCAGTCATGTAGGCCCACCTGGGTTTAAGGGTAGGAGACATGGAATGTAGAAGAATGTAAGGGGTCAAGGGACGTGCCTTCCATATTGTAGATAGTGAATAAATGGTACCTATTATTGTTTTTCTCAGAAAAGCATTATTTCAATTAATATTTGCAGATTCCTTCTTATGCGTAAGCCTCTATGCTAAGGTGACATATGAGGGAAAGCAGATACATCAGCAGAACAAAGAAATAAAACACAGACATAAATATACATGGCAGCATTAAGAAAGGCACCAGGGGTACAGTTGGGTACAACATGGGTGTAGCCAAACCATCTATATGATGTTCTCATGCAAATTTCTGACTTCTGAGCCTGGGTGTCACCTTCCAACACACTGTGGGGCAAAAGCCCATTTCTCCAAAATGTGGAGAAACTTTGCAGTACTTGCTCAGGATGTCAGTAAATGTTCAGAGGGCAAAACAAAGGTAGTGAACTAATTCATTTAATAAATATTTATTAAGCACCCACTATGTGCCAGGGACTCTTCTAGGTGATGGAGATATAACAGTGAATACAATAACCACAGTTGCCTATGGCTGCAGACGAAGGTCCTGGCACCACTGGGCTAACAGAGAACTCAGAAATGTTAGGTCCATCAGGGTTGAACAAACTCCTTCATGTTGGGACTTCAACAGCCTTTGACCTGTGAATGTTGCTTATAACTCCCTGGAGTGGATAATGTTCAGCCTTTTGCCAAAACTTATTTGACCAAGAAACCCTCATTTCAAAGATACCAGGACATAAATGGTACCCTCAAGAAACATCCTGAAGGTGTCCCTATTGAAGTCATCGTATGCAGAAATATACATGGAGTGTGTTAAAAACTGAAGCAGAGAACAGGTTTCCCCAACAGCAAAACTTCTACAAAAGTTAACAGACTGAACTTGCCTGCTGCAAATCTCCTTTCTGGGCCACTTATGATCACCGGTGAATTCAAGAGTTGAAACTAACTTCATTATCAGTCAAAAACAGGGGGGAAAATGTATGCTTCTGAAGAAAATGTTTTTGCCCTTCATTTTAGTCACCTTTAAAGTGTATTTTATCTTTAATCCCTCACATAGACTTCAAGAGAGCTTTATTTCTAACATAGTTCTTTTTTACTTGGGAAGGAATCTTGAGGTGTTTCTGAATGTGTGTGTCTATGTGTCTATGTGTGTGTTTTAAAGTTTTTTAAAGTCTCTTGACCTATATGCAGTAGTAACCTCTTTATATATATATACACATTTGAAATTTTTTTCTCATAGGTTGCTTGGAAGTGGTTTTAGTGAGAATGTGCCGTGCCTTCAACCCATTAAACAACACTGTTCTGTTTGAAGGAAAATATGGAGGAATGCAAATGTTCAAGGCCTTAGGTGAGTTCACCTTTGATGATGACACAATTCTATTAACTACCACCAGTTTCTCCACTAAAAGAAATGCCTTGATTCTCTAACATGACTTAGTATCTCATTATTCAATAAGGGCTGGACTAGGGGAGCCTCCAGTGTTTCATCTAACTCCTCTGATTTTACAGTTGTGCCTCCAAATGTAAAAGGAAGGAAAGAAACGTGGACCCTGTTGACACGAACATGCTTCATTCAGAAATCAACAAAAACTGATTGTAAAGAACTGGGATGCATTCTAGGCATTCTTTGTAGGATCAGCTTTTCTTTTACCTTCTAGCTTACTGCTTCACAAAGAATGTTATGTAGACCACTGGTGGTCCATGGGTGACCTCTTACGTGTCTCATGCAAATTTATAATCATTAGTTAGGATGCTTAAAAGAGGAGCTCTTTCATTTGTTTCGAACCCAGGGTAGTGACTTTCTCCCTGTTAATTCATGAAGTTCTGGGAGCACAGATAGCGTGGCTGCCAACCAGCCCAAAATGATCCCCAGACCATTCTTGTGGGAGGGCAGGACAGAGCCAGTCTCTGCAAGTGTGTCATTCACATCCAGTCATCAGTGCACGGCATGGATAAGAACGTTAGCAAAGATGGGCTGGTGCCAGGAAAGGTTTTAACAATTGACAGTGCCATTTGTTCCATATCCTGCCCACGGACATCAAAGAAGGCCACTGCCCTTTCACCTTTTGTGCTGTCAGTTGATATGGTAGCCAATGGCAAATCCATCGGGGCCGGCAGTGTTTCCCTCCCGCAGCTGATATACATCCATGGCATCTCCAAGGCTAGATTTTCAAGAAAGGAGGGAAAACCTTGGCAAGCAACTTGGGTATATTTCCAGCTTCATAAAATAAACATTTACCAAGGATCCGTGTAGGGATGAAGCATTATTTTGCCAGAATTCACAATGGCTAAGCAACTGACCTGCGAGTCATTCATTAGAAGGTAAACATAAATGAATGTTTGCTTCTCAATCGAATTTCCAGGAAATTACCAAATTGAAAGTCACTTGATCTCCATTCGCTTAGCTTGAGGCCCCTGGACATCCTACATTGCCAGTGACATCCTATAAGTGCCACTAAGACTGACAGCCCATGGCCCATTATACATGTTTTAGGTTTTCTATGAATGCTACGTCTGTGCTAAAGGATCCCCAAATCACTAATTTAAAATTTTTTAGTTGGAGCTAATTTCAAACTTACAAGATTAGATTGGGGTTATATATTCCCAGTTGGGTATTACAATGGGTGCAAACCATTTCTATCTGCCCCTCATTGGTAATGTTGACTTTCATTACCTGGTCAAGATGTTGCCCAATTTTCTCATTCTATAATTACCACTAAATCATTTGTTATGGTCAGGAACTTAGAGATATTTTTTCTGTGTGCCTAGTATGCAAATCCTTGAATAACTTCTTGATCATGGGACTTTTCTTACTATTGTCCCATTCTGTTCAAGTATTTTCATTTAATTTGCCTTCTTTTATAGGTTCTGATGACCTAGTGAATGAAGCATTTGACTTTGCAAAGAATTTGTGTTCCTTGCAGCTGACTGAAGAAGAGATTGCTTTGTTCTCATCTGCTGTTCTGATATCTCCAGGTAGGGAGGTCTGAGGTCCTTACCTTTAAGAAAAAAAAAAAAAAAAACTGTTTTGCTATCTTTAACATGAATTGCATCTACCTAAGCCAAGGTGCTCTGAAGAAACTTTAAAAGAACCATATTTTCTTTAGCAAGCTTGTGATATTTTTGGACAATTCAAAGAAAAGTAGCCTCAGGTTAATTTAAATATCAGTTTTGTCCCAAATGCAAGAGTAGGATGTGTGGTAAGGGTGACTCCAGATTCAGAAAAGCATGATCATTTCTTAACAGATAAATGAAGACAAATAGTGGCCTGAGTTATAACTAAGTTCTATTTTGATTTTAAGAATAAAGGACATAGACAAAAATGTCCAGTTAGGCGAGACTTAGTAGAAATATACCTGAATGAACAAGCCAGCATAGAGACTAAAAAAAAGTAAAACATACATTTTCTCCTCTTTAAATATCTCTTTCGTCGGTTTTTCTATCCAAATTAATGTTGGCGTTCTCACTTCAGGCGCAAATGCCTCTTCTTTTTTTATGCAATATTAGAAGCTTTAAAAGGAGGTAAGGACAGCAGAGGAAAAAAATGGCTCTTACTAAAGACTGGTAAAGGAAGAATCTCCGATGTGGTGGTAGACATTCTAGGACAGGCTCTGTCACCAGGTATGTGTGTGACCTTAAACACTTGACCCCTCAGAGCCTCAGTTTCCTCACCTGTAAAGTAAGAGGGTTGAGCTTCATAATAATAAACACCTCATCTAGCTCTGAAATGCAGTAAACAGCAAATAGTTTTCAAGGAAGGTATGGTATGACATTTATAGATCAAATAGCACTATAGCCATTAAAATTCTTTTTAAAAGTATATGCTGGCTTGAAAATGTATGGAATCCTAATAAATGCATGGCTCAACCAGAATGAAAAGTCAGAGTTGCTCATTCAGTCATCTGTTCAGTTAGATTTGGGGTCAAGGAATAGCAGTTTTATTGACAGTTCTCTATGAAAAGAAAGACACATTCCTGGTCATTTTTATGGTCAAGAGACTCATTCCTTCTATAACCCGTTTATCTCTAGAGACTTGATCTTTTCTTATATCTAACATATTTTTCAGTGAGGCTGGAAGAAATTAATCTTCCCTGTGATGGGCCCTGTTGACATGTCGCTCTAGCTATGTCTACCCATAATACGGCCTTTACACTTTGTATCTGTTAGGCTTTATTTACTTATTTTATGGGGATTTTTAAAATCTGCTTCTGTTTTTTATTTAACTACTTTATCAAAAATGGAAATTAGTTATCAACTGGCATATCATTACTAACAGTTTCTTTTGTGGCTCTGTCTAAAATCAAGCTGTTCCTCCAGGCTTTTTCCTTTTTCTTTTCTTTTTTTTTTTTTAAACCCTAGAAAGTTTCCCAGACTTGGCAGCACAAAGATAAATGGAAGAAGTGACAAGCAATATTTATTTCTGGTAGCAACCACTTGCCAAATAATCTTCCTCCTACCGTTTTCTCATTGCATTTGATTGCTCCCATTGATTATAGTTCAGGTGAAGATCAGTTCTAAGCCTTTGAGTCCATGATGAGGGAGCTGGTTTCACTCTGGTTCCTGCTTAATCAAAGGAAGCATTACAAAAGTCACTGTCCTCGTAGGTATGCGTGTGACAAGTCAGTAAATTCCCGGCAGCAAATATTTAAGACATGGCATATCAAATCTAAACAGTCCATGAAGATAACTGCCCCAGTTGGAAGGCAAGCCTGCTGCTTATGAGTTAGAAATCAGCTGAACTATGAGCCTTTTTCTAGGAAGAAATGCTAAAGCCATCAAACTCCACGGAGTTTGGAAGCATGTTATTTAGCTTATTCTACCCAGTGGGGAATCTTCCAGCCCCGGTCACAGACCCACACTCAGAGGCTTCTGCAACTCCAAGATACCTTGTTTGCCACCCTGGCCTAGTGCCATATTCAAAAAGGGAGGAAAGACAGTATTCCAGCCTGTGTAGGCTCCATCGCATGCCAGACCCCACCCTTCCGCCCAAGTTCTTGCCATAATAGTTACTGTCTATTCAGCTCCAGATAGTTTAGGGAAGGGAGAGGCAGGGGAACTTAATGTATTCTGATTGACAATTGTCACTGAAGGCTTTTGTGCTCACTTACGTAAGGGTTTGCTTAACTGTTGGCTAGACTTGTCCTGGCCCTGTCTAGGATTACAGAATCGAGTTTCTCACCTGACCTGAACTGTGTTCAGAAGGATCATGTCCAAGTTCTTTTCCATGCGTATTTGTTCAGAATTTGGAGACTCTAGGTGTCTCTTCATTGAAGTTTCAACCTTAGGCGTTGACACTGGGCTGAATTTTGTCACCATGGTATAAAGCGTCTAGGAAGAAAGGAAGGACGGAAGCAGGGAACAAAAGAGAGGGAGGGAGGGAGGAAAGAAAAAAGAAAGGAAAGTGGGAAAGGCTAAAGGAAAGGAGGGATTATCCTATCTATTAAATTCAATATAGAAAAAGAGGATTCAGGATTAAATTTTTTAATTGATTCATGTTGATGCTATATAAATTATAACTTAGCTTATAAAAGGGAAGGGAGATTCTGAATTCCAAAAACACTCCTTTACAATAGGTTTTCTTCACTTCTATAATTCATTTCTTCACAAATCATTAACGTAAACTTTGAAAGAAAATCTAAGCGTATGTCCAGAGAAAGAGTAAGAGATGTAAATTGTCACAGACAATAAGACACATGGAGTTTCTCTGAACCATTGTGTCTTTACCTCCACCCTGATTCTGTATGTCAATGTATTATACATTACTGTCATCATAGAATTGCTTATAAAATATTTGTTTTAGAAAAATAATGACATGTCTTCAGAAGCAATTTGGAACTAATTTGAAATGGGTCTGGTACTCAGCACTTATATGTATGTAGGTGAAATACAACAAAGCTTACGTTCTGTCCGCTCCTTACCCATTCTTTCCCTTTGTCAGACCGAGCCTGGCTGATAGAACCAAGGAAGGTCCAGAAGCTTCAGGAAAAAATTTATTTTGCACTTCAACATGTGATTCAGAAGAATCACCTGGATGATGAGACCTTGGCAAAGGTAGGTCCTCAGACCCAATGTCACTGAAAGAGCCCGGTGAGCTGAAGAGGCGAGGCCTAGTCACATAAAGCAGGGGACATTTCTCAGCAGCAGCAATTTCTGAAGATTACCAAAGGTTGCATAAATTTTGAGGCGCACATTTTAAAAGGGAGACTGGGAAATTATAATAGATTGAAAGGACAATGACTTTCGTAGGGAAGGACGATACTGATGGATCTGAACCACAGGTAGAGGAAGACAAATCAAAGGACAAATCAAAGACAAATCTTTTGTTTGGAAGAACAAAAGCCTGAAGCAAGGAAACAAGTCCTCAAAAATCATATATGAAGAAAGAGGAGACTTTGTGTCACTTGGGAGTCAGGTCCAGGCAAAAGAATGGGTAGATTTTTATTCAAAATGAGGAAGAACTATAAAGTGATGAGAATTGGGGAACAGAGGGTAGACCACTGTGTGAAGGAGTGAGGTCCCTAATCATTGGCCGTATTCTTATAGATACTGCCTGGTTTCCTTTCAGGTATGTTGTAAATGACAGTCCTACCCAGAATCAAAGATTAGACTGATGTCTTGTAAATTTCCCTTCAACTCTAATCTCTTCAACTCTACTCTAGGATTCTTTCAAAATGAAGTATCTCAGGGGCAAAATGCATGTACCATGCTATCCATTTTGTGATTCAACTTAATTAAAAATAGTGATCTTTAAGAAGAATACTGAGAAAAGTTGTTTACCAAAGTAAAATGATCAGAAGAGGATAAAGGAATTTTCTAATGATATTCAGTGTTATTTTAGATTCTAAAGTATCTTAAATTTCTTAAGAATTGGAATTTTTTTAGAGGTTAAACAACTAGGAAATGGAGCCTACCCTTAGTTAAAGATGATAGGAATCCTACTCTTTATATTTTTATCATTAAAACCCTCCCACTCTGCTCTTGAAGTTCTTTATTTTAAAAAAGGGGGGAAGACTCTGTTAGAGATACTATCAGATTTTACTTTGCACATACAGAGTACTGCTATAAAAAACCTCCATGAGTTAAATATGCTGCTTCATTATGGTAACATTTTGTTAAAATTAACACATCACTAGGAAGAACATTTCTACACTGTAGAGTGATAGTTCTTTTTGGTGCAACTTTTCACTTATCATGTGGGCAAGGACAAATCTCCTGCTCTTCACACCTCAGTTTTCTCCCAGGTAAGAGCAAAACTTCTACATACAAGCAGAACTTCAGATACACTGGGCAGAAAAGACAGTAATGTGGATATACGCATCTGTCTCTGTAATGGCTCCATAGCATATACGCATAAATACATCTGGTTAGTTAAATGTGGGCAGGGAGGATGTTTCCTGCATTTGGGATATCCCAAAGACTTTGGTCCCCATATTTACCACCCTAAAATTAAGAACTTAATAAAACCCAGAGTTAGACAAAAGTTGTTGCTATTCTGCTTAAGGGGATCATCTTCTTGTCAGAAAACCGTGGTTTCATCATCTCTAAGATGAAGATCATAATTTCTTACTGCTATAGAGGTGTGTAGGTTCAAATGAAATATTTCCACTGCATAAAGTCTAACAAACACACTGTGACATGGTGATTATTACTTCCCAAGAGAGCAACCCTCATGCTTATACCATTTTCTACCACCTGGTATCCTGGTGGTGGTCTGAGGTATTTGGGGTAAAAGGAGACAGAGAAATTGAAGATGAAAGATATTTAATAGCAAGAAAAAAAATAAAACACCAAGTGAAGTCAGCTTAACTCTCTTTTCTCCATCCTTAGTGGGAAAAGTATACAATTATTTTAAGGTTTTTTTAAGTATAATTAACATACAACATTATATTAGCCTTAGGTGTACAGCATAATGATTCAATATTTGTATATATTGTGAAATGAACACCACAGTAAGTCTAGTTAACATCCATTCAATTCTTTTCTTATAGAAAGAGAATGTTGCAAAGCTGGGAATCAGAGAAAGCATTAGAGAGGATTATTTCTTACATAAAATTCACTGGAGCCAGATGACAAAGCATTGCTTCCACTGATCAAGTGTGGATATTGAGTTTTTGTGGGGACCCTTCGCTGTAACAGTCATCATTTTGATAGGATGTTCTGTGAACTAATGTGGAGGGACCATGAAAAGGAATGAGAACTGGATTCTCATTTATCCCAGCTCTGGACCGTGTGGTTTTGCATAAGTCACTCCATTTGTCTAAGTCTCAGATTCAACTGTCGTGTCCTGGGGAAGGGAAGAGGGTGAGACAAGTCTCCTGAGTTCTGACTGCTTTAATACTTTAAGGACAGTGGTGCCATTGACATATAGGGACACCCTCTCATCAAACCCACACTCCCCAGAAGGAATAAATAGCTTTATTTAAACCTAAGAAAAACTATTCTACCCTCCCACAGATTCTTCTCATCTTTTCAGAAATTTCTTCTTTTCCTTCATAGTCATGGAGCTCTTCTGCCTCCACAACACCTCTAAAACAGTGACCCCTCTGGGGAATCTGGCAAACATCATGAAACTTATCTCTAGAAAAATGTGCACATACCCAACTGTTGTATTCAAGTCCAGCGGTTCAGGTTACATCCCCAGTAGGTGGGGTAGATCTGCCTTCTGTGCAGTGTGCAAAGACTGTTTATGCCACCGACCAGTTTCACCCTGAACAGGTGGAGCAGACTTAGGTGAGGTGCAGGGTTCAGACATAGTCATTAGATTTCATCCTAAAAAAACTGTCTCCCATACACTTTCTGCATGCCCACTTCCTGAAATTAAAGTTCAAATAGCAATGCCTTATACTTTTGACCAAACCTGGACCTAGGGAAGATTTGAAATTCAGGAATTCTTATCCATTAACTAGAAGGAAGGTCTCAACCCCTATATGTTAATCAGTTTGTTTGTTTGTTTGGGGTAAAAAAAAAAAAAACAAACCCTATTAAAGAGTCTATTTTCCTCTCCTCATGACCATAATAATAACATGTAGCATATTTATAATAAACCATCAGAACCACTGGCTGCTTAGTCACCTTGGACAAGGGACTTAACCTCTCTGTGCCTCAGTTTCCTCATTTGTAAAATGTGATTAAAGATAGTATCAATGTCACATGGTTATTTTAAGGACTAAATGAGATCAACTATAAGCAAGCTGCATGGTTCATCACAGATAGTATGTAAGTGCTGTTGTAGTTGCTGTGGACAGAAGAAATTTTGTTTCGGCAGGGAAATGTTTATCCAAGAAATGGGTATATTTGAGCTAATCAACTGATGAATGATAACTATTTCAAAAGATGGAAGTTAGGGGTTTAGGGAGGTGGAGTATGACATTCCAAGAGATGGGGGCAATGATATAGACGTAAGAAAGTATAAAGTATACGCAGGCTATGAATAATAGTTACATTTGGCTGGATCCTGGATTTGAGAAGTGAGGAAATGAGGTCACACTGGTCACTTTCACTAAAGCTCGTGGAAAAAAATACATATACATGTAATATGTATAGAATGTATGTGTATATGTATATGCATGTATACATATATATTTTTAAGCCATATGACTGGGGGAGGCAGCCCATCTGTTTTCTGGGCTTCAGTTTTCTTGTCTCTGAAATGAGGAGGGTGGGACTGGCTGGTCGTTAAGTTCCCTTCAGTATAATATTCTTTGACTCTAAAAGAGAAAAACAAAGGTTCCTTCTGATGTATTCTGCCTTCTATTGCTCTGTCCCGTGCAACAGTTTTAAGGACTCTTTAGATGTTCTGCCGCTACTCTAAGTGAATAAATAGACGGATTTCTACAAGTCTTGCAGATTCAATTAGTTCTATGGTAATTGAATTTAGGGTGATATTCCAATCCCAAAGCTGTGAAGCATACACTGTTTATAAAGCCTGCATCCAGGGGTCAGCATTCCCATCAGGCTTTCCATTTCTAGCATAACAATAACAAAACTGCATCATCAACAAGGGGAATTTGTCTTTCTACTGTAACAGTACCAGGTTACTAAATAAAAGCTTAGAAGAGGGGGCTTCCCTGGTGGCACAGTGGTTGAGAGTCCGCCTGCCGATGCAGGGCACATGGGTTTGTGCCCCGGTCCGGGAAGATCCCACATGCCGCGGAGCAGCTGGGCCCGTGAGCCGTGGCCGCTGAGCCTGGCGCGTCCGGAGCCTGTGCTCCGCAACGGGAGGGGCCGCAGCAGTGAGGGGCCCGCATAACGCAAAAAAAAAAAAAAAAGCTTAGAAGAGGGAAGGCTTACACAGGCCTATTTTACACGTTAATAATTGAAATATTACCTGAAAGAAATCACTCCTGGTCACTCTCAGTTTACTAGTGCTATTAAGATACAGATTTAGGAAAAAAAAAAAAAAACCAGCCATGTTGACTCATAGATAGGGTCTATGGAGCACAAGCACTGATTGAGAGATTAGTGAAAACTGCCAAGGGTCATTTACATTGATTTTCATTGTTTGCTCACTGAAATCTAAAGAGACTGTGTCATGATTAATGATGGGATGTTTATGCCTGAAGCCTGCTTATTCTTCGTTCAGGACACTAGGTGTCACATTAGAATTCCTAGTAGGTGGGCCTAGGGATTCATCAGTTTAATCTTAAACAACACAGTCTGTCCAGTCAGGACTTAAGGGGTCCTAGTTCAGATGATGTGGCCATGTGGTCTGAGCCTCCTTGTTCCCCTTCATATTTGGTTAGGAATTTGTTTTATATTTAAATTTTCTATACTTTCTTAAAGTATAACATACATGCTGGAAGTTCTTAAATCGTGTTTAGTTCAGTGAATCATCACAAAGTTAACATACCCGTGTAACCACTGCCCATGTAAAACTTGGCACTCCCGGAGCCCTGCTCAGGTTTCCTCACATGGTATATACACTGGAAAATAATGCAAGAGTCAAAATCATAAAAAGCGGTTCAATAGATCATCCAAGTGTTTAAATTCCAAATCGATACTCAAGAAACATAGCTTTCTCATGGAATAGTTTTCTACTTCAACCTACATGTATATTGAGTATGTACTGTATGCCAGATGCAAAGAAGGGAAAGGCAAATAACACATGGTCTTGGCCCTTTAGCAAGCGGTTTCCTTGCGGGATTCCTGTGAGAGACCAGATTATTGCAATCCATTTTAGCCATTTATAGTTTGCTGGCATACACTACAGGTCCAACACCCAGAAATTTCAAGGGTTGTCCATCGGACTAATGGTCTATAATAAGAAGAGAGGTTTTGATGTTTCTCCTCACTCATCAAGTTGCAAGTCGATGTATTAGTTAGGACTCTTGGGTTACACATAACAGGAACCAACTCACACCAGGTAAAGCAAAAAGAAAATAATAAAATAAACTAATGGAGAGAAATCTCATCTAAGGTAAAAAATTCAGCCCCCATTCAGGAAACACTAGGACAAGGAATTAGGAAGCCTTCAGAATTCTCCATCTCACAAGTTTATCTCTCTTTATGTATCTACTTTATTCTTCTCCCTCTCTGAACACCAGTTTTCTCTGCTTCCCTGAAATATGGGTAGCTCTTAGCTCCTTAGGTCACTCATAGTTTATGCTACATTTAGAAAGTAACTTGCTGGCTCCCCGTCTGATTCCAAATTCCAACCCCAGTTAAACCAAATGTCCACTTCCACTTTAGTCAGCCATTCCCTGAGAAAACATGCCATACAGCGTGGATGCCAGCATGGAGTAAAGATGGTGAGAGAGGGCTGTGACCTGAACAGATATCTCCAATTCAGTATTAGAAATCTAGGCCAAGTGTCTAGGTTTAGCTGAACAAAAACCCAAAAAAGAAGTGAGTGGGGAATTTCCTGGCGGTCCAGTGGTTAGGACTCTGTGCGTCCACTGCAGGGGTCACGGGTTCGACCCCTGGTTGGGGAGCTAAAATCCCGCATGCCGCACAGCCAAAAACAAACAAAGAAGTGAGTGGACAAGAGAAATAGATGTATGTAACCTCACTTAATGTGTCCTGTCTTTATCAGTGCTTCTGAAGTTTCTTCCACTTTGATCAAGCCATTGTTCACTTCCTGCTTCAGGTTGGAGGGCATCTTGATGGCCTGGAAGCCCACATGAACACAATCCTTAGTTTTCACCTCTGCATGTTCCATTCTTCCAACATCAAATGTACCAGCTATAAAACTGTGGATTTTCTCATAAAACCACCCTCTGGAAAGAAGCATAGGATTATTATCTCTTCTCCAACAGCTGCTTTTTAGTCTTGTAAGACCCCTGTAGGTATAAGCTAAAGCTTCCTTCTTGCAAGAAATGCTTATCATAAGAGAGAGGTGAGTGTGAAAATGCCTTTTTATAGACCGTCTGTCTACTCCTGCTATGGAGATTATTTAAACATGAAGAAATTTCATGATGATTTGAAATCGACTACCCACTCCATCTCCAAGTGCTTCTGGATCGCCACCCCAGCTGTTTAAAAAGTTGTTGAGCCATTAACTGCTGCTGAGGTGAGCTCCCTTTGACTTGGGGGTCCTCCACCTGCAGTACATAACATTAACGAGCGGTAAGTGACTGCCTGATGCTTCCTCCAAGAGGCCCTTCTGGGCTCTGACAAGTGCTGCTGCTGCTTCCTCATGGCCTCCTGGCCCATGGTGCCTCCAGAGTGCTGGATGCCCCTGTCAGCACTTCTATTCCCACAGCTAATTGGATGCCTTGAAATCAGCCCCTCCTGAGAGCACAGAGGTTGGCGAAGCTCTTCTGTCTTTTTCGGTGTTCTTTGCTCAAGTGGTCCCAATGCTCTATAAGAAAAAGCATTTGTCACCATTCAACCCATTCTACAGATGAGCAACAGGGACAGGACTGAAATCCCCTAAAAGAGGGAACTAGATCCTGAACCAGACTTCCTTAAACCTAGTTTTGGGAAGGAAAGAAGCAGGAGTCCATATTTACTTTCCCAAACCAAACCCGTGGTTAAATATTTCCAATAAATGAACTATGGAATGATTTTGGCCATCCTCATACATTTAATTTTTCGACCACCCATTCTCTAAAGGAGCAGAAAACTGCTTTAAGAATTGTAATACATAGAATTCTACTTTATGAATCACAGTTTACTAAATGAGCAACTTACTTTAATTGTTACAAGAAAATGAAAATCGATAATGATGTTGCTTTTCATTTCAATAAAAGTAAATGGCTGATTTTCCCCATGCATTAACCCACAATACACAGAGACTCAATTTTGGGTGCTTGGTTAGCGGCTAAGCTGGTTTCTTGCCCTCCATGTTATTTGGCTGAACAAGCAGGACCTTGACTGTTTCTCTCCTTGAGGGAAGCATTATGTGGGAATGACACATGACATCTAACACAGATATTGCCAGGATGGGCCAGGCACTCCATAGATAGTGTTGACTCATTTAACCCTTACAACAACCCTCTGAGATAGGGACTATCATAATTGACATATGACAGATAAGGAAGCTGAGAGGTTAAGTGACTTGCCCAAGATCACACAGCTGTAAATAGCAAGTCTGGGAGTCAGACCCAGACAGGCTTGAAAGCCCATATTTTTATCACTAGACTAATTCTCTTTATATAGTATTTGTGTCTCATAGGGAACTCAGGAAATTTCATTATTTGTCTCTCACCAAACTAACAGAACCAAGCAAATGAAACCTTCCCTCTCTTGATATGATACGCGCAGGCTCAGCGACCATGGCTCACGGGCCCAGCCGCTCTGCGGCATGTGGGATCTTCCCAGACCGGGGCACGAACCCGTGTCCCCTGCATCAGCAGGCGGACTTTCAACCACTGCGCCACCGGGGAAGCCTATGATAACTTTTTTATCGGCCTCCTGAAAAGAAGCTAACTTGACACCCCGTTACCGGGACTATTTCTAATATGATAAAGAATTTACTTGTCAAAGAATTTACTTTGAAAAACAGTTGTAAATTTATGAGATTCGAACCTCTTAAACAGTGTTTCTCAAAGTCTGTTCTATGGACCCAGTGCACCCGCATCCTCAGGATATTTGTTTCCAACATGAAATCTGAGCCCCACACCTAGATTTCGTGAAACAGAATCCCTAGGAGGGGATCCCGTAATCTGCATTTTTAGGAAGCACTCCAATAGTTCTGTGCACTCCAAAGACTGACAAGCATTACAGAGCTGCGTCTGGGTGTTTTAGGCTCCACACACCATCAGTTCAACTGCCAATGATTACAGGACGCTTTCAAAGTCTCTGCACTCAGTAGCTATTTCAGGGAGAACTGTAATGTGCAAGAAGTGTTCCGAGATTGTTGCAGTCTCCTTCTGTGCGAACCAGCTGGTTAAGAAAGCTTGAGTAATTTCCCAAGGGACTCTAGTTAAAGTGGACACTTGTACACTCTTTACCTATGAAAATATAGAAAAGACACGGCTTTCCACCCTGGACTCAAAGAGAATCTTTCAGAATGGGATTCTGATAATTTTTCTCAAAACCCTACGAAAGACCTTAGCAGAGACTATGAGACCTAGCATAATCTGACCAAGCAGCCTCCCCAGCTTTATCCTTGAACATGCTCACCCACGGCTCCAGCGACAATGAACTTCCTTCAGTTCTAACAGCACCGATGATCCTGGAACATATTATGTACCCCCAGCCCCAGCGTCTAGTTAGCTCTCCCTCTCCCTTCAGAGCCCAGCTGAAATGGTCCTTTCTCAGAAGTGCCTGCCTTGAAGCAGTCAGAGCATTCTATTATCTACCACTTGCCCTAGCATCATTCCTCCATGGCAGTCACCAGTTTTTCGGTCTGCTTTCGACTGCGTGGTCACTTTATTCATCTGTCTTCTCCCATAGTTTATAAGCAACAACAGTACTGTTTTGTGAATTCTGGTGTCTAGTAGAAGTGTCTGCTACCAGTTTAAATACCTCATAATGTTGGAGAGAAAGTCTTGATTCTCAGTCTAAAATTTAACATCCATTCTATAAAGATTTCATGATTTTGTTTTCATTTCTATCCCTATCATTAAATAGCAGTGGAACTAGAAAGTCTGAACCCCAGACTTATGTGTTCTAGATCCCTTTAATGAATATGTCAACAAGTCTAATCCTTATGCTATTTTTGAAGTTTCTTATAGTGTGGTTATATAGTCATTAGTTGTTAAAAGGAAAGTTAATAAAAGAGTGGACATTTCTGATTTTGAAAAGCCACAAAGTAACTAATTATCTATTTCCTCCTTTACTTCAAAGGCTGAAATGGTTTCTTATTATTGAATAGGGTAGGGAGCGCAGTGAGCCTAATTGGTGATTAGATGGGTTTTACTTAATTTTATCATCACTTTCAAGTGTACCCTTGGTCAGCTGTATGAACTATCAAGCTTATCGTTTGTAAAAGTATTATCTATATGAGAACATTTCTTATTCCCACAGTAATTTGATCACAGTGACATTTGGTTTTAAGCAATTTTGACACTAAATGATGGATTCTAAGTGTTCCAAAATTATAAGTGTGTCAAAAGCTAGAATTGTTCAGAACCTAAGACCTAATAGCACTTAACAAACTGTGGATATTTTAAATTATTAAAACACTGTCTTCTGGGTATTTAAACTCAAAAAATTACATTCTACATGATACTTATATATCAAAACCTAACAATTATAAGTGGATATTCTCCCATGAGTTTTTGAAACACCTCCTTAAGGAAGCTGAGTGCCAGTGACTTCCCAAATTCTCCCTTGATTAAATATAGGTTTCATTTTACTCATTACGGTGGGAAAGGATTAGAGAGCTACCGGCAAGCTAGTGACCTTGACAGAAAAGCCGTCCACATCGTTGTGAATTACACCTCATATGATTTAGGTTACACCTTCCTAACACTGTCACCTTCCAAAACTAAAAATTCTGATATTCACATCATAAAAAATCTATGGGAAATGATAGATAATAATATTAGCTAACAATTGTATTTCATGCCTACAGTATTCTTAACACTTTCATACAAATTTCCTCACTCAGTTTACACAACAACGCAATGAAGTACGTGCTATGAGTAAGCCCATTTTACAAATGAGAAAACTGAGACATAGAGGATGGCACAGCCACACGGCCATTTAGCTATTTTAGAACCAGGATTCCGACTCAGTCAGCCTGCCGAGAGAGCACCCCTCCTAACGATTAAACTAAACTACCTCCCATACCTACTTTATATAAGAACAGTGAATTAGGAAGCTTGGTCCTGCTTTCTTTCCTTCTCTTTATTTTCTCGTTAGAGAGTCAGGGAGGGAGGTGTTTTGTTTTGTTTTGTTCTAAAGGAGAAGCTGAAAGTGAGCCTTCTTTCTTTTTGAACATCTTTTTCCAAAGCCAGTTCCCTTCATCTGAGGCCAGGAAGGACACTGATTCAGGAGACAGAGCACTAATGAGCTTCCCCCTTTGTCTCCTTCCCTGTCTCTCCACTCTGCAGTTAATAGCCAAGATACCAACCATCACGGCAGTTTGCAACTTGCACGGGGAGAAACTGCAGGTATTTAAGCAATCGCATCCAGACATAGTGAATACACTCTTTCCTCCGTTATACAAGGAGCTCTTTAATCCTGACTGTGCCACCGTCTGCAAGTGAAGGTGACGAGCGAACTGTCTCATAGTCATGGAATGCAGCACCATTAAGACAAAAGCAATGTGTTCATGAAGACTTAAGGAAAATGTCACTACTGCAACATTAGGAATGTCCTGCACTTAATACAATTATTTTTCACCGCTACAGTTTGAAGAATGTAAATATGCACCTGAGTGGGGCTCTTTTATTTGTTTGTTTGTTTTTGAAATGACCATAAATATACAAATATAGGACACTGGGTGTTATCTTTTTTTTAATTTTATTCAGGTATGTTTGGGGAGACAACTGTTTATAGAATTTTATTGTAGATATATACGAGAACAGAGCAGTACTTTACATGATTACTTTTCCTGTTGATTGTTCAAATATAATTTAAGAAAATTCCACTTAATAGGCTTAACGATTTCTATGTTTTTAGATAGTTGATGCATGTATAAATTTGTAGCTGTCTTGGAAAGCACTGTGCATGTATGTAATGAGTATATAATATCTGAGAATATTATATATGACTATTACTTATACATGCACATGCACTGTGGCTTAAAATACCATACCTACTAGCAAAGGAGGTTCAGTCAGGCACTATTATGTTATTTACCTTGTGTTATATGTTACCTTTA